TGTCCGCCGTGGTTAAGCGAATCTGCGGTTCACAGTTGAAGGAACCAGCTGTCGGGGTTGAACGCATCCGCGTTTTCCAGTTGACAGAATCCGCGGGGGCGAGTTGACGGAATAATCGGCCCAGAGTTGAATGAATCCGCGCGCTACCGATAAGTGGGGATTCGGCCATGCATGGTTGTTGGCAGCGCGAAGGCTACACCAAGCTGGCCGTGAGCGGCGCACTTTGCTTGTGCGGGCATCGATCCCGGTGCAGGGCAGTGCAGGGATTCGCATCGGCGCGCTTGTGCTTGGTTTCTTATGCCTTGAAGGCTTGCCGCGCTGAAGCTGCGAGAGGTGAATGGCTCAGCACCGTTCACGAAGTGTAGATAGCTGAGAAGCACTGGCAGGTGCAAACCGCTGGGAGCCCTTCGAGGTGTGCGGCAGTCAAGTTTCTGAGTTCACTTTGGAAACTGTCTCGGGTAAGTAGGCCCTCCTTTTCGTACTCTCTGGGAATGTCAAGCTGAGAGGGTGCCGGGGATACGGAGCAATCTGCACTTCGAGTCTTGCGCCAGCCGTGAAAGCCACGCGCTTTCGAAGAAAAGCAATCGGAGATTAAGTCTCTGACAACACGCGAGCCCAGGGGAACCTCGCAAGAGCCAGCTGCGGAAGATCTCGAATCTGCGCTTGGAGGCATGTCTGGACTCTGTGACTGTTGCCTTCAAGAAGGCTTGTGAGGGCCTTGCTGGGCATGCCTGTGAGCCGCGAGGGACTGAACCCGGCGAAGCCTCTTCGCCCAAAGCGAGTGCAGGCAGTCGAGTCACTCAGCAAAGGGCAAAGTCGTCCTGATTTCCCGTCAAGACTTCCCAAGCTGTTCTATAAGGAGGAGAAGAGCTGCAAATTACGCCAGAGGCGCTGCATGTGCCAGCCTTGAGTGATCCGATGGTTCCAAGACTAAGGCCAAAGAGTCAATTCGGCATCAAGAACGAGAAGCAGGCGATGTCCACGCTGGATGTCAACAAGTTCCCTGAGTGCATGTTTTGACAGTCCTCCAGGTGCCAGCTACTACCTTTCGCGAATTTCGGAGGCCATGAGCCAGCACTTGTCGAGCAGAGTTACTGCGTGGTCGACCTTGCAGCGATGTCATGTTTTCTTTTGTTTGCAGCCCTGAGAATGTCGATGCATGCCGCAATCGTGATATTACAAGGTTCAGATCCGAAGCTTCAACATGTTTCGAACGTCGACGGCAGCCTTTTGTGTCGAAGACTTGGCGTGCGGTTGGTGGCGACTTTGACTGGAAGTCTTGGATCCCACTCCATCAGTCTCAGTGAGTTTAATTTGGGTTTGGATCGAAGTTCCAAACTGTTGAACAGTTGGATTTTCTTCGAACTCGACCAATTGCCGACGTCAGCAAGCAACAATTCGGACTTGACGTGCTCCTTGGGCTCATCCCGTACAGGAGAGAGCGCAGGTGCTCAAGCTTGGCACTGGTCTCGTACTAGCCGGGAACCTTCGCTTTCTGCTTGCACTGCCTCGTCTGCCATCGTGTCAGAGGTGCTTGGATTGGTTTACTACTTTTGGCCAAATGTGCCTCCACAGAGCCCCGACGGCCCCGAAGGTGGGTGACCGGTTGTAGGAAGAATGTTCTCTTACAGCCAGGCATTTGTTTTTGCGTTTTTGCATTGCTAGGTCAAACCTCTACACAGGAGACTGAGGCCGTCGTCCTTTGCCCTGCGTGAGTTTGAGGATGTTTGAGGTTTGTGGTGCGCAAAAGACTGGGAAGAGTCGATACAGAGTTTCACCGCCCTCTCCCCCCCCTCGAAGGCCGGGCAGCTCCGGAAGCCTTTGCAGACTGTAGAATCCGTAGAAATCGAAATATGCAAAGAGTCACTGGATTCTGACCTGAAAACACATACTAGGCGCATACTGTGCTGCATTGTGCAGCTCAGACCATACAGAGAACATGCCCCATTCCTGCAGCTACTTGCTGCTGGACAGGTCAGCCTAGAAGCCGGGAGTTCGGCTGCAGGCGAGGATCGCAGCTTCTTTGTAAGCCCTCATTGGTCACGAGCACAGGACAAATGGGAGAGGGGACAGCGGCAGCTTCCATTCACACCAGGCAAACGGAGGCCAGTCGTATAAAAAGCTGCGGCAGGCATGCGTTGTTCTTTTGTGGGATTCAGCTGTGACTTCTCCTCGGCTAGACTGTATTGCACATTGGTAGATGGTTTCATGAGCCATGTTGCTGATTTCTGGTGGTATGGCATTTAACCATGCAGTTGAATGCAGAGGGCCAGGTGCGAATTTCTTGTCCTGCCGTGGCTTGCGCATGTGTCCATCGTTGGACACTATCAGCTTGCAGAGTCCATCCGTCACGGATTCGAGGACAAGAGCGTACTATGCAAGTTGAGATTGATGGCAAATCTAGCCACATGAACAAGGCAGGAGGTCGCATGGCCGGCACACGGCCCCTGTAATCCATTTTGGAAACATGGGCGACTTGGCTTCGGGCATAGTGCCGAAGAGTTTATCATATCGTCGGTGTCGTTGCTATTTTAGACGCAGGCTGCGACTTACGATGTCTGTCGGGACGATGCACCATCTTGATGTTTCTTGGGCTGATGCGACTTCGTGCGGGTACTGCGTTGTACTTGCAAAGCTGAACGGAAATCTGCGGAAGATGGAAAGCAGAGGGTGAGAACCAAGCGCCATGTCGATTACCAGGTTTCTGGAAGGCAGTCGGATGAACCCTCGGAGTGAGAAGAACAATTTCGCAAAGTACTAAGTTTAGTAGGTATTTCGCAATTCGAACCCCGAATATTGCTCCTGCAACCATCTGCTTGCCCCGTTTTCGAGACATGGTTCTATCTTACCGGAGCTGGGCATTGCATCACATCCATTGGTCTTTTTGGTCTTGTCCTCTCCTGCAAATTATTCCCTTGAAGGTGGTCTTTGAGAATGCGCCGAAGGACATCACAGCCTCATCGTTTGTTGTGCGCTGGACGCCGAAAGGCAGGCAGAGTCCGTGCTGCTGTATAGGACAGCCAGGCTTGGGACATGTCAGCCAGCGCTTGCACCTTAGTGTGGCTTCAATATCCAATCATCAAAGCAGCTCTGAAATGCATCGAATTCGAAAAAATTGCATGGGAGATATGTCAGGTTCGGGGCATCAAGGGTGGCGTGTCGGAGAAAGTCCGCATGTTCTCCTGGCTGTTTTGGCCGTGCTTGCAACTGCACAGGGAGGGGGAAGTCTTCCGATTTGGCGGGCTGCTTGCCTTGGAGGTTTCAGCGATGATGCAGCACCCAAAATGCAAGATGGCGTGCAAGGAGTATTGTGGAAATATGGAGTGAAGCTCCTGCGACTCATGCGATCTGACTCCTGTAGTAGATCGCAGTTTGTACATAGTTTCCCTCTTGCATGCTAAGCTGAATGGACCGACGCAACAAGAACAGGAAAGTACAAAGCGCAAGCTCACGATAGTGTAATGGTTCTCTCTGGGTTCATTGCATGCAAGAGCCGTCGGAGAACTGGAGGCGACGGTGCAGTGCGTCCTAGCTTGCAGTGCTTGGATGTTTACAGGCGTTTCATGTGCTGACTAGAGAAAGACAATATTGCATAGCTTTACGTTCACCGTTGTTGTGGCTCCCGCCAGCATGCATCCAGCATAAATGCAAGGCGAAGCACATGCTGAGAGAATCCGGGACCTATATGCTTAGCTCCAGCGCTTAACATAGCGGCCTTCATGCTGGGTGCAGTTTTGGATGGTTGTTCCGATCCCACTGTCGTTGAGGCTTGGATCCTAAATCTGATGTAAACTGGTCGCACGCTCGATGTTTCTGTGATGTAGCTCGGCCACTTGAACTTTACGGAGGTGCAGCCTTGCGTGGATCTGGGCCATCATCGCTGCGGCGCAACCGCCATGGAATTCGCAGGAGATTGTGTTTGCAATGGAAGTCTGCTGCGGCAGCCGTGTCGTTGGCCGGCTGGGGTGATCGCATGCTTGTTTCGTGAGGAATTGAGCTCCCTGCCTGGTCTGGCCCCGTGGTACTGTCCACCCATAGGCCTTCACCGTGGGTGTACGGATGTGGCACTGCTATGCGGCTATGAACAGTATCCTTGCCAGGCCTCGAAGAAGGCGCTTGTGTGAGAAAGCATCGTTTCGGCCAAGCTCCACTGCGCCCCACCAGTCTAGGTACCAGGTGCTAGGCTTATCAAGTGAGTCAAGTGAGTCGAGAAAACCGATTGCGTACCGTTCCGTCATGGCATCATAAAATCAGTCCCGCGAGAGCTGCGCAGCTACAGGGGTAGAGTATCTTGTTTGTTATTTTTCAGTTATTGTCAGTGTTTGTTCTGGTTTTGCTTGTTTGTTCATTTCGGAACAGACAGAACGAAAGAAATAAAGAAAGAATGACAGAGAGCGAAAGAGAGAAATGAAGAAATAACGACATAAATAAAGAAAGAAGGAATGAAGGGCAGAAATAAAGAAAGACTGACAATTATCGAGAGGGAAAGGGAACGACATAAAAACGACAGAGTGAGAAGGAGACAGAACGAGAACAATAATGACATAAACAAAGAACGAAGAACGAAAGAAGCAATGCAAGACAAAAGGAACAAACGACAACAAAGAATTCAAGAAATAATGAGACAAGCAAAAAAACAATGAACGAGATAAAGAAAGAAAGACAAAGACAGAGAGAGAGAGAGGGAGATAAAGAACGACAGAACGAATAAGGCAAGACAGACACAAAGAAAAGCAAGACGAACGAAATAACAGAAACGAGATAACTTGAGAAATAGATGCAGAAAGAACGACACACAGAAAGACGGAACGAACGACATAAAGAACTAATGAAAGACAACAAACAACAGAAAAGACGAGATAGTTACGGAAGGACAGAAACGCAAGAAATAACGAAAGCACGAAAGAAAGAATGAGATAAAGAACGAAAGAAAGAAAGAAGCAAAGAACGACATAGACAACGAACAATAGCACCAGAAAGACAGGAATAACGACCAAAACAAAGCCAGAAAGAAAGGCCTAAAGAACGCATGAATGAGGACAGACATGAAGGAAGAGATGACCAAAGAAATAATGATGCTAAGATGCACTTAAGCCTATAACGCCTGTATTCAAAGAGCGGCAGAATCTATTGAAGTCCAGGAGCATGCTATCACAATCCACAACGATAGATCAGAGACAACAAAAACACAAAATGAGAAACTACCACCCTAGCAGC